TTCCCCATCTGAGGAGCCTCTGTGCCAGCTGCTCGCCCTGAGTGCAGTCAGCACACCCCCAGGGCTCTGGGTGCTGTGTGGATGTGCAGCATTGCTGTTATTTCTGTTTTCAGCCCTTTGCTCAGCTGTCAGACTGGATTGTGGAGATGCAGAACTCAGGTGACACAAACACAGAGCATCTTCTGCCAGAGCAGCCAGATGAGCCACTTGATGCAGAGGGAACTTCTCTTTATTGCCACATATTGTGTGCAGCTTTTTTAAAGGAACAGTTTTCCACAGAGGAGAAAGCTGCAGGATCCTTGTTCCTGGAGCAGGGTTTTGTTGTGCTTGGGGGCTGTTGGGAGATTGAGATTTGTTTGTGCTCTGTAGATCCTCAGTGCCTCCCAGCAGAGAAGGGATCATTCCTGCCCTTGTGGCTCCCAATTCTGGATTCTCAGGCAGGGAAGGACCCAGAGCTGTTGGGATTCCCTGGTCCTTCCCTGCCTGCAGGACCAGGATAAGCAGATGGTCCTTCCCATGGATGGGCACACAACAGCTTGGCACCAGCATTTTATGGCCCAGTCATCGTAAATAACTGATATTATTTGCTTTCTCTATTTAGAGAAAAGTATTGTTCTACCCCAGTAGCAACTGGGAAAACAAATGCCACCATTTATCAGGCGAGTGCTGACAATAATAGAGGTCAAGTGGATTTATAGTGCCAGAACCCATTATGTGTTTGAAGACTAATTAAAGCCTTAAACGAGATGCTTGTCCTACTGGAGGCTGCTTTGGGTTTTTTTTTCCTCCTTTCTTTTCCTGCTGCTGTGCTTGTTTTCCCCCTCCCCCTTCCCTCGTGAAGAGCTTTGCTGTAATAATGGAGCACGAGGCTGACAGAGCTCCCCTGATTAGATGTCAGCAGCGTATGATTTGAGATGCTCTGGGAGCACTGGACCGTATCTCCACTGTCACTTCGGAGCTGGGAAGGGTTTCCAGACCAGCATTCCACCCCAAACAACTGGCTGGCTGCTCTGATTTAATTATCTTGAGCAATATTTAGACTTGTCTGCCAGAATCAAGGTTTGGGTCTGTACAGATGGGGGAGGCACTGGCCAGGGCTGCGAGAAGTCGCCCAAAAGCCAGGTCAGTGTCTTGGTTAATGCAGGTACGGAGGAAATGACCTTTTCATGTGACTGCAGCAAGTCCTGATGCTGGGTTTGTTGTGTTGTTTGGGGTGCCCAGCCCACGTTCTGTGGGGAGCAGAGCGCTGCAGGCAGCGCCGGCTGATGTTGGCTCCACAACCTTTCCCCGCTGGTTTTCCGTGGAGTCCTGTCAGGTTGAATTCTGCCTGCTCTGGCACAGCCCCCAGAGGGATCCAGAGTGTTCCCAGTTGCAGTCCTGGAGCTGGGGCTGTGTCTGGGATGGGGGCCCTGCTCTGCTGCTCCGGCTGGAAGCGGGAGGGAGGCGGCAGCTCCCGGAGCTGGGGTGATCAAAGCACATGGCAGCTTGATGAGAGCTCCTGCCAGGGCTCCCTGAGTCCCTGCTCCACCTCTTCAGCTCCATCTTGTCAACTGCAATCTCTTGGAGATGGAGCCTGTCCATGGAAAAACAAAGCTCTGTTTGCCCAGCTTGTCCTGGTGCTCCTTTCCTTGAGATGATCCCATCACCATCCCTGATAAAACTTCCTTGTGTTCTCCGTGGCTGCAGGTTAAAGACAAGAATGTGAAATCCGTTAAACTCGCCTCACCAACCAAATTGCAAAAGCAAAAAGTTGAAAAAAAAAAAAAATTTTAAAAAATCCCCTTGGTTCATGGTGCTGTTGAGATCACAGAGGGGGAGGAGAAAGAGATTTTGAAAAAAAATATTTAAAAAAGGAACAACACCCCTGAGAAGTGAGAAGAGCAACATCCCAGGAGCTCCAGGAAAACAGGGCATGAATGCAGCCAGTCAGGAGCGTTGCTCAGCTGATGTTCACAAGAAGGTTTCAACTTGCTCTCTTTGAGACCTCAGTAAACCTCCAAGACAGAGAGAGCATTTAGAAAGGCCCCTGAGGTTTTCCATTACTCTGCAGCAGCCTTGGTAAACATGCCAATAAATGCTGGAGAGAGAGAGAGGGGGAAAAAAACCTTCCAGAGGAACAGACCTGGGTTTTCAGCTGCTCAATCCTTCACATCCCCGGCTGCTGCTGTGGAGCAGCTCTGGGGAGAAGGAGGCAGAGCTCAGCTTTGGCTGAGCATTAAGTGGTGCTGCAGGTATTTCTGGGGAGAATAAGTTGGGAGAGGCTGGAAGTTACACCTGGAGCCATCTGAGGGAATGGAGACAGAAAGTTAGCGGGACTCCTGTCGTGGGACACTCGTGAGTATGGAAAGCTCTGCTCTCCTGGAAGGTGGATGAGGATGTGTGGGATGAGAAGGGGAGAAGGTCCCACTTGTCTGGTGGGAGTTGCTGCAGGTGTGGATCCAGTTTCTTGTAGCCCTGAGTGATAGGGACCCTCCTAATGCTGCTTGTTCTAGTGGTGGTGAGCAGGGACAGCGTCTGGCCCCAGCACTGGCTGGGATCTCTGGAAGAAACAGCTGAATTGGATAAAGTTTTTTGTGATTCTGAACTTCTTCCTCTCTCAGCTCAAGTGTGTGTAAACCCCACACAGTCACAGATGGCCACCAGCACCAGAACAAGAGAAAGAGATGAGTTGTTGTGCTGGGGTGGACTCAGCGCCTGTGTCTATTAAATTAACACGAGGCAGGTTTTCTCTGCTTGGAGATTAATGGCTGCTGGCCAGCGGTTCAGCGCTCTGGGAACACACAAAAGCACCTGAGGATGGAGGTGTGTAATTAATGACTCTTTAGACAGCTGGAAATGATGTGTGTTTATCTAACTGGGTACACTTTGCTGCTTTCTTGCTTTCCTGGAAGTGGCTGTTAAGCGGGGCCGTGACGCACTCTCACTTCCAGGGGCTGGGCTCATCTCTGAAACCCAAAATTGCCTCTGATGAGGTGTTTGTAGGTGACTTTTACTCCAGACCCACTTTGCTGCTGTGGGTTATTGTGAGGAAAGCCACGAGCAGCTGTAGCAGTGTTTAACTGGGAGCCACTGGGAACAGCCCAGCGCTGCCTTCCCCTCGCCGAGCTCCTGCCTGAGCGATGGGGCAGCACCCAAAAGTCCTTCACCCATCTCACAGCCATCTCCTCCATGCTGAGGATGGTGGGAATGTGGTGGAGCAAAGGGAATTTTCTTCAGGGATGAGGTTGTTGGATTAGAAGGGGCTGCCTGGGGAGTCACCACCCCTGGAGGTGTTCAGGGAGTGACTGGACTCAGTGCTCTGATCTGGTTGACAGGGTGGGAATTGGTTGGATTTGAGATCTTTGAGGCCTTTTCTGACACAAGCATTCAGAGCTGCTGACAGTGGGCTCCTGGCTTTGTGTGGAAGGAGTAGAGCTTGGTGGAGATGCCGACTGCTCCTCCTGACGTGTGTTCCTGCTCTCCTGTGTACTCACATCAGTGCCTGTTCTCCACCTCCAGCCCTGATGTCAGTCCCCCTGAACTCAAAGCCTGGTAATGAATCACCTTAAAACAAAGCTGGTGCTAATGTGCTTTTTGGAGTAGAGAGGAGAAATGTGCAGAAATGTTCTGCTGATTGGAATCTTTGATGCTGCAAGCAGTAAATCCCTTCAGGGTGGTGAGGGGCACAGACACAAACTTCAGGTCTCTCATGGCTGAGCTGTGATGAGTGTTCATGACTCTCGGTGAGGCTCCAGCTGATCCGAGCCTGCATCTTGTGAAGCTGAGCTTTCCAAAGCACTGCTGTCCTTGGAGCTGGTGCAGTTTGGGTACAGCTCTGGAGCCCTGCTGGGCTGGCTGTGCTGCTGCAGGAATCCCTGGAGCCTTTTTCCATTTCATCCCCATGCTCAGCTTTCAGCCAGCCTCGATTCGTGAGTTTTGTGCCTTCTCCCTGTTCATTTTGCCCAGTGAGCAGCTCCATGGTCCCCTGAGCTCAGAGGGGCAGTGAACGCTGGTGCTGCTGGGCAGTGGTGGGGTTTGGGAGATTGCTGCTGCAGGAACCACACAAAGCTCCCTGGTTTCCATTCTCAGGGCTCAGCACGGGGATCATTCCTCCCCCAGGATTTCCCTTTGAGCTTGGAAGGTGTCACAGGAGCTGTGGGAGAGTTTTGGGCTCTGCCCTGCGTGGTGTTGCTGGAGTGGGGTGTCACATGGGGATCAGCTAAACTGAGCCTTCAGAATCAGGGAAGGGCAGAAGCTTCCCCAGGTATGGTGAAAGCATCCCAGGGCCATTTGGTACATCCTGGCTATTTGTCAGCAAGGCAGGAACAGCTGGAAGCAGGCTGAAGGGGGAGACTCTGGAGGTAAAGAGCGTTTGAAAACCAGGAGTCAGCTGAACTGTGTTTCACCCACTCTGTTGTTGTTGGAATCAAAAATCAAAATCTTATGAAATCTCAAATAAATATAAATCCTGCCAAGTTTTGATGCCTCTTTCAGGTTTAAGGCAAGATTTTGTTCCCCTTAAGGCTGGGCCTATGATAGTTAGAAAATATTTGCTCCTTCACTTAGTTTTCCAGCCTCTGTGACTATAGAGAAGAGCTCAAAGTTGAATCCCAGAAACATTCTTTCAGTTAAAAACACGATGATGAAGCAGAAAATCCACAGATGTATTAAATTGTCTATTTGTTATGATTTTCTCAATGCTAGTCCCATGACTTTGGTGGTTTAGGGTGAGGTTTGTAACTCCTCAGTTCCAGAGACCTTGTCTGAGATCAGGGTCGTGGTGTGACCTGGCTGCAGCCTGACAGCCAAAGCCTCACACAGCCCTGTGACAGTGCTTTAAAAAGACCCAAAACAATGGGAAAAAACCCCACATTTGAATCTCAAGGCCAGCACAGCTGCATCACCCCATCCCTTTGACTTCTAATTAACCAGAGCAGATTATTTGCTGCGGTTTGGGTTCTCTCTGTGTGACATTGGTGCTGTTGGTGACACCCCCCTGATGTGAGAGTGTTGTTTTGCAGGAGCCAGGCCAAAGAGACTCCAAAGGAACAGCATGGACAGCTTAGACCTCCTCAAATTCCCTTCTGAAAAGGTAAGGGAAGATGTCTGGCCTCAAAGATTGTCAGTGGGAATCTGTACACAGATTCCAATTGGTTTGTTGTTGCCTGGCTTCATTTGCAGGGAAATATGCAATTAGCAGATATCATTGGAGTCAATGGGATTAACCAAAGAGGGTTTCTAGAGAGCTTGGAGGAGAGGAACAGCTGGTCTGACTAAAAAGGCACTTAACACTCAAAGCTGAAAAGTCACTTCTGGGCTTTTTTTGCAAAAGCAGCCCTTTATTGGCAGGATCATGGTGAGCAGTTCAGCCCCTGGGTGGCTGTCGGTGCCTGTCCCCCAGTGCAGTGACAGAGGGGGCAGAGCTGGAGCACTGCAGGAGGCAGAGGGTTTGTTCCAGGGTTTGTTCCAGGGTTGGTTCTAGGGGCTCCAAGGATTGCTTTGCTCCTGGAAATGTCAGATCCCAGCAGGTCAGCGTTTCCTGCGTGTCCCCAGGGGCCTGTTCTGCAGCAGCTGGGAGGCACTGAGCCCTTCCAGCCACAGGGATGGTTTCAGTCTCTCAGAAAATCCTGCTGCCGAGGGCTCAGCTGTGCCTGTTCCTAGAGGAGGTGGCCAGACCTGCAGCCATTCTGCCTTTCTGGGATGTTTTTGGCACAAATCATCCACATTCACCCAGTGCTTTCCAGGCACAGCTCTCCTGAGTGTTCCAGGGAGTGTTTCCCCTTCACAGAACTGCCACAGAGAGAAAAAGCTCATTTCCCCTTTACAGGTGGGTGCTGATTGTCAATGGGACCTTGAGGAGCCATTTAGGTACCTAAAAATCCCAGTAAACACTGGGAAGGCCAGGCAAAATCTCCTCCCTGAATGAACTCTCTTTGGAAAATAAATTCCAAATGTCCTGATGTATTTTTATCAATTCTTCCCGTGCCCCGTGGCTATTTTGGCTCTTGCCTGCTCTGCCCAATGTGACTCTGGGGTGTCGATGGCAGGGACAGCAGTGCCCAAGGTCAGGGGACATTGGCTGGTGTCCTCATCAGAGCAGCACAGCCCTGAGGGCTTGGCTGGTGTGTGGCTTGCTGTTCATGCTGTTGGTTTCCTGCTCTTTGCTGTAAAAGCCAAACACCACTCGATGGTTCAGGCAGGGTTATGGGTTCCAGGGCTTCCATGGGGAGGATGGAGCATGCAGGAACTGTGGGGTCAGGTGTGAGCACTCCTGTTCCCCCTGCAGTGTCCTTGGGAGGCTGTGAGTTCACCTGTCCTTCAGAGAGTGTTCTGGGGGCAGTTCCTCTGCTCTGTCCCTCTGTCTGGAGGGGTTACAGCCCTGGGGGAGGCTCCAGGGCTTTGTGCTGTGGTGGGAGTGAGAAGGAGTAAGGAGTAAAGCCATGGAGTGAACTGTGACCTCTCCTGCATCCTCTCGGTGCTGTCTCTGCCAGAAATGCCTTCAAAGCCAGCAGAGCCCTGCAGGGCTCCCCTCACCTCCAGGAGCTCTGTCCAGCCTCTGCACTGTTGTGTTGGGGCACAGGGAGCACCCACCTGGGTTCTGAACTGCAGCACACTGCGGGAACGCTCCCTGCTCTCTCCAGCGTGTCTCTCACTCCTTCGTTTGATCTCCTCTGGTTTTATCTTGTTTATTCCTTTGTGTACCAGACTCAAATCTCTTTCTCTCACGCTGGGTTTCGCCCTGAAGGTGCTTCCGTGCTGTAATTGAGTCATCTCTCCTGTTGTCATGCACTGAGCAGTGTGAGGGCTCCAACCAAGGCACTCTAGTTTGGATTTATATTTATATAGTTTTGGATTTATATCCATGTTGCTTTTTTAGATGTGGGCACTGGCCTGGCTGTGCTGGTGCCATCAACATGGCAATGAATCTCTCCTTCCTTGTTGTCACTATTCCTGTTTGGGGTCTGTCACCTCCACTTCCCCACACCTGGGGTGACAATTCTGTATTTCTGTGGGAGCACCGAGCACAAACCCCACACTGGCCGTGTGCCTCTGTGCCTCTCCTGCTCTGTGGGCAGGAGCCAAGAGAGCTGCAGGAAAACCTGAGCCAGGCACTTGCTGCAGTGACTGTTTCTTGCTTTCCCAAGGACCAGAACGGGGACAGCCACCACGTGGGAGAGCTGAAGATCTCAGGGAAGGAGTTCTTGTCATTACCTGCGAGAACGAAGAAATACCGGGAGCACCGCTCCAGCTCGGAGAGGAAACCCCAGGGGTCAGGTGCTTCTCCTCTGGATGCTGGGGGAGTGCGAGGCCAGGTGCCACAGTCGGTAGGAAGATGATTTTAATCTCCAGTGCTCATCTGGGAGTTCCTCATGTTTGTTTTTACCTCATTTCCAGCTGGGTGTGGGGGTGGCTGTGGGGACTTTGGGCTGGAAAACAGAGTCTTTAGCTGTGCTCTGTTTGTGTTTGTTTGTTTATTGTCTGTTTGGTTTGTTGGGAGCAGCTGTGGGCAAATCCTTTTGCCTTTCTGAGCCTCAGCATCACTGTCCTTTTAGCAGAGCAGTGGTACCAGTCTCCATCACAACCTGGTGTGTGAGGATTGGCCTCAGTGCTGACATTTATTACCTTCTCTCGAGGGACAGGAGTCTAGAGCTGAACTTAGCTGGGTTCAGGATTATCAGGACCTGAATCTCAGAAAAGCACTTTGGATGCTTTGTGGGGCTTGAATTGATCAGCTCCTGGAGTTCATGGAGTGGGATTGGTGCCTTCAAAAACCAGAGCTGTCCCCAGGTCTTTGGCAAGCGACCAAAAGTGCTGGTTGCCTTTGCCACATGTGGGACTGTAGATGTTCTACCTCATGTTCTGATCACACTGATGGTCAGTGTGCAGAGTGGTCTCTTAGAATGCATCAGAGATGGTAGAAATCATCATCCAGGAGCTTTTCTTTGCAAGCAGCACAGATGGAGCTCATTTCCCCAAGAGCTGGCCCTGGTGTCGGTGATTTCCAGGTTACTGGTCCTGTGTGGGGAGCTCTGATCAGTCTGTGCTTGGCTCCCTGGAGGATGCTGAGGATCCACGTCCTGGGAAGCTCCCCAGATGCCTTTCTGCTGTTTTTAACCTGACAGTTCTGCTGGTTTTGGGCCGTTCCCTTCCGCTAGTGTTGATGTTTGTTGTGACACATGGCAAACACAAATACTGGGGAGCTTTCCTGCAGCTGTGCTGGGTTTGTTGCCAGCCCTGGAAGCAGGGCTCACACCCACAATGATGGCACGTTTCTGGATCGTGGGAGGGGGCTTGGAGGTGTTTGAACTCGGTGATCTCAAGTGAGAAAGCCCCAGATCCTCAGCTTGTTGCCAGGAGAGACGAAGCGTAACGGGAAAGATCAATGATCTCATGGGTGCTTGGAAGTATTTAGGTTTTTGCTTTACACTGAGTCTCTAACACGCTATCACAGTTCTGTGATCATGCAGTGATTCCAGATGGAGTAAATCCAAGCCAGAAAAGATAGGCCTATTTTTTTTCCCTTGGCATTTAAGAAAAAGCGAAATTAAATATTTTCATGCTGGCTAAGAAAGAGTCGGATCTGCAGAGCTTGGGTTGAAGCCTGGGTGTGGAGTGGGGATGCTTGAAGGTGTTTCTGGCTCTGAATCCTTTGTTCCTCATCTGTGGATCATGGGGAGAACATGTCCTGCTGTACCTGTGTGATGAGTGTGTGGACACATCCCGTTTTTGCCACATCAGACATTCCTGGTTTTCAGTTCTGTGGCCACTGGAAGCCAAATTTTTACACCAACTGGGTTTTTTTTTGGGCTTTTTAGACTTCTCTGAGCTCATTCTTGGTTCTCAGCAGTGCTCGTGGAAATGGTCTGCTGGGAAAAACATTTCCTAGGGCTCACCGGTGCAAACATGATCATTGAGAAGGAAAACAAAGCTCATCTGAGCCAGAGAGGAGACAGCAGCATGGGGGCACACAAGGCAATACAAAGAGAGAAAAAAAACACTTCTGCCAGAAATAGCCTTGTATTTTTAACTCAGACATTCAGCCAGAGACCAAACAAAAGCCACGCTCCATCAGGAGCTGGGAAAAGAATTCCTTGGGAGTGTGGCTGTGGATCCATGGGCTGTGTGAAAAAAGGCCCTGTGGGGCTTTGCCAACCACTGGGGACCCCTTGGGGCTTGGGGAGAGGCCAGAGGGCTCTGTGGTGGCTCTGGGGTCACCTCAGAGGAGCTTTTTTGGTGCTCCCAGCTTTGCCAGGCTGACTCTGCAGCTCGGGCCAGACCTCGGAATGTTTAAAGGCAGCGTCGTCCTGTGGGTTTTCCATGAGCAAAGGAGCCCCTCTGTGTTCTGCTGTCATGGGGGGTTGAAAAGCTGCAATTCCATCCATGGGAGCCCTTTTAATCAAAGGTAGCAAACCCCACCTGAATGGGAGAGAAGCTTTTCCTGGACAGGCTGTTCAGACAACAACTCCCCCAGATTCCTCATTCTGCAAGGAAGAAAGAAAAAATTCTCTTTAATCCATTGATAAACTTTGAGTCCTTAACTGGAGGTGATTTCTAAAGGTTGATCCAAGGTGATTTTCTGGGGTGCCACAATCCCTGCTGGCCCATGGCAGAGGAGAACCCAGACTGTGAGCAGGGGAAAGAACTCATCCCAGGACTGGAGATGTGACCTCTGGATAAATCCTGCTGGCAGCACAGCCCCTGCCCTGCATCCCAAGGGGCTCCTGCAGCCGGGGGGATGCAGGATGGGGAGTCCTGGGGGTGAGGTGCCTGACTCAGAGCTCCTGGATTCACCACCCATCCCCTGCCTGTTGTTTACCTCCCTCTTCCCCATCGTGTGATGGGGTAATGCTGCTTGCCTGCCTCCCCCGGGGAGGTTACAGAGGCGTGATGATGGCTGTAAAGTTGTTTGAGCTTCGGATGGCAGGAGCCGTGGTGGTTGTTATTAGCATTGGTGATGATGCTGCTAATTACCGAGCTGCTGGGAAACTCCCCATGGGAGGAGGCGGAGGGGAGGGGAGGCAGGGGAAAGTGAAGTGAGCAGGGCATGGAGAGGAGCCTGTCCCTTCTGGCAGCTCTGTCGGGCCCTGAGAGGAGGGCTCAGCCTGCGGGAGAAGCCGTGGGGATGCTGGGATGGATGGGAGAAGCCATGGCCCAGGTGCTGCGGAAGGTAGGAGAGTGTGGCAGGTCCCCCCCGTGCCTCAGAGCTCCCTGCCACCACTGTGCAAGAGGCTGCTGTTGAGTGTGATGCTCCTGCAGGAGGGTCCTGACCCTGCTGGGGCAGGCAGGGGTTTCCTTCCCCTCCCAGGGCCCCCTGAAGTGGTCGCTGGGAGGAGAGGGACCAGCCCTGCCAAGGTCTGGGGATGGGCAAGGACAGGGTCCTGTTCACCTGGGAGCCCTGGTGTGCAGCTCCCGTGGGGATTCTCAGGGCTGTGAGTGCCTGGCTCTTCACAGCAAAGGAGGATTTGGCCTGGGAGAAGCTGATGAGGGTGAGGTGCTTTTGGTCACGTTTTCGCTCTGTTGCAGCAGAGCTCTGAGCAAAAGTGGCTGTGTTAAAGCTCTGTCCCTGTGCCTGCAGCTGTGGACAGCCAGATCCAAGTCCCTCCAGATCCCTCCCTGGGACTCGTGCAGTGCACACCTTCTGAGGTTCCTCTCTTTTAAAAGGAACATCAAAGCAGAGGTTTTGTACTACATGAAACTTGCAGACATCAAAGGCTTGCTCATAAATTTAACCCCTCTCTCCAAGGTGGTGAAGGTCACAATGCTCCAGCTTGGGTTTGACTTGGTAGCAGATGTTTTTTAGGGGGTTACTAGAAGGTTACTGGAAGGATGGAATTCTTCTAACACTTCAAAAATATCAGAGTTTGTGTCCCTCACCCTCCTCTGTGCAAAAAGGAGAGGGCCCATGGAAGAAAGGGGCTGTGTATTCTGGAAAAGACTTCCTGGGGACCTGCTCCAATTCTGGGCCTGTGTTTAAGGTCAGAGGTCTTTGAGGCTGGTGGGACTGAGCATGAGCCAGAGTTAAGGGCTAAAACTCTTCATTGTGTCAAGGTCCAACAGCTGGAGCAAAACCCATGGAGCGAGGTAAGGATCAAACCAGCCCCAGATCTCTGGATCTGTGCTCTGGAAATGGTCCTGATCCTCTGGACTCTCCCCTTCCCAGGGAATGGTTCCTCACTCTCCAGACCTGTCCTCAGCCAAGCCCATTTATAGTCAAGGCAAAGAGGAGCTGTGTTAGATTGCAGTGACGACTTGCAGGGATGGGTTGCTGATGTATTTAGACACTGAGCAATTTTCAAGCACTCTGCATCACCAAACATTCCCTGGGACAAATGTTTTTATAAAGCCTTTTTTATGATTACAGTGAGAAGCAGCCATAAAAGAAAGGAATTTTTTGTAGGTCATTCATCTCCGCCCCAGAGGCAGGTTGCCAGAGTTCTTCTGATGGTTTTCTGTCTCAGGATTTATTGGGGGTTTGTTGGGTTGCAGGATGCTCATGGTTGACCCTCCAAGGGCCAGTGGCAGGAATCTGGAGGATCCTGCCTGTCCCTGCTGAGTCAGGGGCTGTCCAGGCAGCTCTTGGCTGCCAGGTGAGCCCATCCATCCCCTGTGACTTCACTGGGAGCTGCAGAATGGGCTGGATGGATGCTGGGCTGCAGGGATGTGTCAGCCTTGGGGGCTTCTGGCCCCACAGCATCATTTCCCTGGTTGCCTTGTTGTGTTTGGGGGGAGATTGATACTTCCCCAGTTCTCTCTGGAGCTGGAGTGTGGGGTTTACACCAGGCAGCCTTGCTGCTCTGTGGTGCCTGTGCATCTTCCCTGTGTTTTCACATCAGCTTGGTCCCTGCTTCATCTCCCTGATGTTGGAATCCCACAACACAGGGGCAGTGCAAATCACACCCTCCTTCATCCCACAGCCTCCACGTTTGCTCAGCTGCAGGGGTGTAATTATGCCATTAGTGCTGGTCAGACTTTCTGGTGTAAACGTGCTCTGAGAGCCAGGGAGTGGAGAGGAAGGGTGAAGCCAGAGCCAGGGAGAGAGGAAAGGCAGCTGCTGCTAAATTTAAGACTGTTCCTATGACACCTGGAGGCTGCTGTGGTGGTGTCAGTCCTCTTGGAAGTGAGCAGGTAAACACAGAGCCGTGGCTTGTTCTTGGAGTGCTTTATCTTCCTCTTCAGCTGGTGGGACCTTGCAGAGTGCTCGGGGCAGGGAGGCTGTGCTGTTCCCTAGCTGGAGGCAGGATGTGCAGGAAAACCTGGAGAGCTCGAGCCTGACAGGTATGGGGAGGCTCTGCAGGGATTTGGGCTGTTGGGAGAAGCAGTCAGG